TCATCTTGCTGTTTTGCTAGATATGCCATGCGCATATTACTGCATAGCATATGCATATGCATCTATTGAGAACGGGCCTCACGATTGCGCATTGCCGTGGTTCAGATGCTGGCGTTTGCTGCATTGCAGATAACATCAGTTGTGCTGGTCCCAAAATGATTAGGAGTACTGTATTGAATCGCGAAGCATGCACTACCGCCAGCACTCTTTGCAGGACTATAAATGTTGCAAAACTGTTCAATAGATTCTGCTTGGAGAATGGAGATTACCGGTTTATGTTATATTTAACTCACATACATGTTTGCGGTCCAAGCCTAGTTGAAGTAATTCAGGAAAATGTCCCGGAAAGACATACAAAGCGAATATTATATACTGTGCCCCTAAAATGATGCACTTAAAGAATTCCATTGTTTAGACTCGGTATCCATACATGTATCGCAGCTTTTGCTGTCAACAACGTCACATGCAATGTTGGGGACGACAGAATGAATAGTAAGATAAAGAAGAAAAACTGTCTCGGCACAAGCCAAACAAATAACGTGACAACATAAACATGTTTGTCGTTTGTGGTAGCTGGTTATAGATATCAAAGGGGACCAACAAAATCCATGTCACTGAACTTTGGGCTGGATTTTAAAATAATTTCACCTCTTCTACCGTTGCTTGCAGCCATTCAATCACTGTGCGGTAGAACGTTAACGGCTCTCGAGTCAATAGTTGCATTCTATTGCATTCCACGGGCCGGCTTTCACGGCACGCTCCCACATTTTAAGCAGCCACCGGCATGCCTGGCAGCCCCACGAGCTACTCCACATGTGGCACGGCCGCCGTGGCTGCGGGCGGTCGAACGAACGGGCGAGCGGCAGCGGCGGCGGCGGCGGCGGCGGCGGCTGGCGGTATCGCTGGGTCGGGAAAGTCGGCCCCGGGTGCCGTCAGTCGCCGCCGCCTGCCACTGACGCCTCAATCAGGCCCGTCACTGCGACGTCCGGTGTTGACCGCTGGAACGCAGCGACTCCTCTGTGGGGCTGAGGGTCTCCAGAGGGTCCTGGTGGGTCCCCGTTGGTCCCCGTGGGTCCTCGTGGGTCCCGGTGTCCTCTGCGTCCCGGCGGGCGGCGGCGGCCCGTGTGAGCGTCACCGCGATGTCCGTCTGATAGCGGGCGGACAGAGCTGTCAATCACAGGCCGACCCTCTCGTTATCACCGGCGTCAGTCGCGGCCGGGGGTTCCGACAGACGACTGACGGCCACCCGCCCGCCCGGTCAGAGGCGCCGAGTCAGAGTCGGCAGGAGTCAGATCTGTCCTCCTGAGCCAGCTGAGCTCAGATCCTCCCGCCCGCCCGGTCAGAGGCGCCGAGTCAGAGTCGGCAGGAGTCAGATCCGCCCGCCCGCCCGGTCAGAGGCACCGAGTCAGAGTCGGCAGGAGTCAGATCCGCCCGCCCGCCCGGTCAGAGGCGCCGAGTCAGAGTCGGCAGGAGTCAGATCCACCGCCCGCCCGGTCAGAGGCGCCGAGTCAGAGTCGGCAGGAGTCACATCCGCCCGCCCGCCCGATCTGAGGCACCAAGTCAAAGCTGACTATAGACTCATAACTGCCCACCGGCGTCAGTCGGGCCGGAGTCGGCAGGAGTCAGACTCGAAGTGTCTTCCCATGAGTCAACCAGAGTCGGCAAGAGTAAAACTAAGAGCTGTCCACCTAAGCCAGATAAAGTCAGAGGCGCCCACCTGAGTCAGCCGGAGCCATGCCTTTACAAATTATCCGTCCAAATAAAAATAAACCACTGGCTGAATATAAAAGGTATGCGCCATTTCCAGAGACTTCCTTCTAGTTCCACCACTAACCCTCCACCCACCACAGTGAACCCGCACCGACCACGCGGCCAGCACACACGCCCGTGCCCTTCCACAGCCAATAACCGTAAGCTGATTGGGACGCCACCGGAAGTGGGGACGTGCGTCGCGCGTCGTCTGTCCCCAAGAAGAGGTCGGCTGGCCTTTTATGATTAGCAGCCAGCGGGAGGCACCCGGCTATTAACCAGACACCCGGTGTCAGAGTCTGAATGGGACGGAGCGGGGTCCCCTCCGAGTCGGATCAGAAGCCCCGCGGTGATTGGGTGGGTGCGTTACGCCTCCCTCATGATGAGGTCATATGTAAGCTGACTAGCTACAGGCTTCTTGACAGACTTGGAGTTACTTCTTTTGTGGTGGGACTGTGTGAACATTCCAGTTGCCTGACCACAACTGGACACCTCACCGTAGTGGAGTTTACCTCAGTTATTTCCGCACAAAGGGTAATTCTTATGAGTAGAACTGACAGAATTTAATGCATGCTGAGTTTTCTCTTACATTTCCATCTACAATGCAAACATATTTTATTTTATTTTATTTAGTTTTGATATTTTTTCCTGTTAGTAGAAGCTTGTTTTAAATGTAAACAATACTTTTCTGCTAAGATACCGGAATATGGTCTTCGAAGTTTATTTTGCTTTCTCCGTCTAGCAAAAAAACAAAAAAAAAATATTTGGACTTAAATTATTCGTCACCCATCATAAACACCATTTGTCCTTTCGCCTTTCAAGTAAAACCGATCCTCTCAAAACGATACCTATATCCTTTCTGATCCATTTTCGGCGATCCCTCTCAGCACGTTCGGCGTTTCCATTCTGTTCTGAATTGCGCCGCTCTCGGCAGCGAGTGGTGGCCCTTCAGTGTCTCAGTCTGGACACAAAGGTGACGCCGTCGACGGCTGGAGTGTGCCGGGCGGGAGGGGAACAGACTGAGCCCGAGGCTCACCCGACCAGCCGCGGGTTATACGGGCGGAGAGAGGTCCGACAACTGAGCAGCCGGCCGCCCCGGCCCCGGGCGGGACGGGCCAGAGAATAGCAGTGGAAATGGAGCAGCGTGGTGGTGGAATGATTAGAAATAACTTTATGTGCGTCACAGGTATCTATGGGCAGATTTATTAAAATTGCAGTTGATCTCAAGTATAATTTTACATACAGCAGTTTGCAACAAATTTATACTTCTTAGTTTACCAAAAAATAGCGGATAAGTAAGAACGAATCCGTCTAATTGGACCTCGAATCAGCCTTGTTGTATTTATGGTGAACATTTTGGCGCGAACATTCTGACAGATATACCCAAAAGGGATAAAGTGATTTCAGTATTGCTGGAAAACATCCCCAGCATTTGTTGTAGTTGATCGTTACGATTTATTTACGATTTGCGATTTAATCATAGGGGAAGTTGGGGCAATGCCGGAGTTGGGGCAAAGCCGAAATTCGAGATATTTCGAAAACCGTAAGACATGGATGCCACCTGTCAGTGATGCTCTGAAGCTTAAGTGACTACAATTATCGCATGTTCGTTACGAGTCGTCATTCGGAATACTTCGACTGTGAGGGCGCCAAGAGCGTTTTCAAGGTAGGTACGTTTCCCTTGTACTACATGCGCCTTTGAAGCTGCATTTCTTACTCATTATGCTACCGTTTGTCTGGCCAATTCGGTCAAGTAATCTTTAGCATGTCTTTGCATAAGTGTGCTGCCTATTTGAAATTTATACAGCACGTTGAAAAGTTATGGGCCTGCAAATGAAAGTATGGCAGGCTGGGGTAATGCCGAAAACGTGCGATTACGCACGTGTTAAAAGCACGCTACGTGGACTTTACTGCTGTAGAATAGCAACGCGTATTTTTAGTCACACAAATTACACTTTCAACCGACACAACGGCCTGTTACCTATAAGGAATGATTTACCTGGCATGTTCTTATTATATCACACAATTATAACTTCCAGTGTGCACCGCGTCCTCAAGCTCTTAAAACGCGTGTCAGCTTTGATCAATTCTGGGTAAAGTTTGAGATAAAATGGCAAAACATCAATGTCGGCATTCCCCGTAGATCATTTCTCCCATTTTCGGCTTTCCCCGCAGTCCGGGGCAACGCCGAAAAAGTCACTTCTTTGATATTTTTAGTTTGTGCGCTTAACGGTATGCGAATTCATCAAATGCGCCTGGTATGTTTGAAAGGCAAAAGACTGGCCTCTCGAATGACGCCAACAAGAATAGCTTATGTTGTCTACCTTGCGTGCTACGGGCGTCAGAAAAAAAGTCTTCGGCGTTCCCCCAACTTCCCCTACCTTGTTGATACACGACATTGTAGAAATTAAATGATAAGGTTTTCTTCCAAAAATATAATGAGAACGGTCACAAGTGAATGCTTGAAGCTCCTCATATATTAGTTTATCCAATTTGTGACTTATTTCGTTGCTTTGTCATCGACTTATATCATTAGTTCATGGGATCACTGTGATTGACAATGCCAGGCTGTCGCGCTATAACGACAATATTCAATATTTGACCATTATCTTATCACGAGTAATGTGATAGCCATAATGAAATGAACACTGATCAACATTTTTAGAATAACCGATTATATTTTTGTTGGCATCTTGAAAATGCAATCGATATACGTTGAAGGCAAATAGTTTTCGTCAACCACGTTTCTTTAGTGCCAGTTGGAACATGCTCGTTTGCATTTTTTTTTTCGTCTTTTGAAAACAATATTATGACAAAATTATTCGTTCCAATTCCTCAGCGACTTCTTAGGCAGGAAGTAAAACATACCTTGCTCGTACTCACACATCTAGCGCGATTCACTTTTCAGCCTTATCACAACACTGCACTTTTACCACTTCTAATTTCACTAGGACTTTGGTCTGCAACGTGCACTCTGCACTGCTCCTTTTCTCGCTGCACTTGGAATCCCGCCCAACCCTAAACTGACGGTACTCCACGGGCCGAGTCGGGCCGGCTGTGCCGAAGGCGCGCGACACTGGCCGACCCGACCCGACCCGACCGACCCCGTGACCCCTCTGAAACCGAGCGCGACCTGCCGGGGCCGTTTCAGCGCGGCGCGTTTCAGCTGCGTGCTGAGGCGGGTGTCTGCCGGGCCATCGAAGCGTGCGAGTCGTCTCATCTGGGCGGCAGAGGCCGCGGCCAGAACTCACCTCTGTCCGCGTCTTGGTCGCTGAGGCGGCGAGATGCTCTAATCGCGCTTCACGGCACGGTGCACAATCAAAGTTCAACTTAAATCTGGCCAGCCAGCTCCGTTTGCTGCTCGCGAATAACGACACTGGATTACACAGCTCTCGCTCGGCACTCACCCATGTAAATGACACTAAATGTGGTGGAAACGGCTCCAACTCAAGCGCGGCCGAGGGCGGGACGGTAGGCGGGGCTTGGGCGCGCACGGTGAGGTGCGGATCTGCGCGGACCGGCCGCCGCGTTGGCTGATGTCGGGCCCACCGCCGCCGCCACCGGCACAGATAATACCACCGCTGCTCGTCCCCAACCACCGCAGTTGGGGTCACGGATATTTCCAGTATCGGTGATTTCATGCTCAGATGCTGTGAACTGTACAATCGGCTACAGATTGAGATGAGAAAGGATAGTGGACGTTTCACACTTGTAATTCGACATGACGTCTGGCATCAAAATTATTGACGCCCATGTGTGCTGTGCGTTGTAGTCATAAACATAAATTGCCTAATGTACTCCTATGTGGCCGTTTTCACGACGGAATAGCAGGCATCTATTTGATACCAATATAATCCTTTGGTTCCTCAGGAATTTTAGTAGTTCTTTTTAGTAGGTTTACCAGCTTTCGAATGAATGGCGCGTTAGTTTGCTATTTTTCTATTAAATATCACATCGATTTACATTATCTAAGGATTTATCACTAACATCAATATAAAGCGTAAGCACAATTATAAAATCATGAAATTATTAAATACTAGTACAATAGTTAAAAAAAGATACTGAGTTGCCACACTACAAAAGATATATTCATTTATGGCGCACGACAGACATTTAGAAAGCAGCGCCCTGTTTTATTGCACGCTGCTAGCCGCTTCCATTGGGTTTTGCAGGCCGACGTTATTGGTTGTTACACGTATGATGTCACGCGACTTGTGGCCTATCACGGCTCTTTAATGATCTCCACTAAATGAATGCAACAATGGCCTTTTAAGTTGATATCTGTGGCCATTTGTCTATGGAGCGACCAATATGAAAGTTAGAAGAATTTACCGGGGTTACATGACTATGAGCAAGCAAATGTGTATCAGGAATGGATTCAGGTGGAGAATTGCGCTGGACCATGAGTGCTCGAGCGCTCCCAATTCCACGCCGGTTTGGCTTTGGAGCCGAGACAGACGATGCGGGTCAAGGTCACCGCTGGGGTAACGCTGGATTGGCTGCGCCCGAGCACCCGTAACGCGGCACAATTCTCCATCTATAGATTTTCCTATTCGCTCAGCATTGTGATACCTAGGTGTTCGTAATAGCAATTACTCTGCTTATGTACTTATCCCCGGTTATTTAAAAGAAGTTTTTGTGAGGGGATATCACGGCTATAGGTAGGTACTCAGTTGCCCTATTCACGACTTTCAAAGAATGCTCCGATATGTAAATACCGCACAGACCTACTGCATTGGTGAATCTGACAAAAGGTCTGTGGAATTACATTCCCCCTCACCACACCCCTAAAAACTCATCCAGTGTCCAAAACCACTTTTATCGACTCGCCAAAAAAAAAAAAAAAAACACACACACACACACACAAAGCATGGGGCATGTCAGCTCTCAGTTCATTTATCATTGTCTTTACCATGGTTCAATTGCATTGCGCGATTTAAAGCACGTGAGTGCCTATATAGTATATATGTAGAAAATAATATCTACAGCAAAACATCCAAAATTACAAAGGCTGCAATGCTTAAAAAGTAGGTTCATCAAGGAAGCCCATGTTTACTTGCGTTGTGTTCCCAACCATGCGATTCCAACGCGGGCTATTCGCAACGTCTGTTAAGGCACGTTAACAACTGACAAGCCGCCACCGCTGCCACTTATTCATAGATGGTTGATATCGCAGCTTGGGCGTCAGCAGCGCGGCCCACAACGCGTCGGCGCCAGCGCACGCAGCTGTTGGCACTCGGCAGCCGGTGTTGCGACTTAACCCGCGCCCTGCTGGGGGGGGGGGGGGTGTTTGAACACCCCCCCTTGTGGTTTTTCGCGAATATCTCAAAAAACGGCGGCGCGGAGCGCCGCCGTTTTTGGTACACCTTATCATACATCAATTCTACACATGTTGTGAAAATTTCAGACCAAGGTCATTCAAGGTCAGGTCACCAGGTCACTTGAAGTGACCTCACCTCATAAAAAGTTTCAATGTCTGTCATAGCTACACCGAGTGACCGATCGCTTTGAAACTTTCAGCGATTGCTAAGAGCAATAGCATGTACAAAATGTATATCTCAGAATTTTGATATCGATGACCTAAGGTCAGGTCAATTTTGCGACCTCCCCATTATAAGTCAATGGGAGAAAATTGAAATGCGCCTCTTTTGGACGAAAGACATTATAAACACTCCCAAACACCGAATTACAAGTGGTTTAGACACACTGAACATGAAAATGGCGTCCGTGACCCTTGTTTATGCCCTGAGGTCATCTTAGGTCACGAATGGTATCTAACAGTTTTTCGCAAATAACTTTTGATAGAGGCATGCTAGAGCGATGAAAACGCCTTAGATGTGTTCAGCTCGACGATACGGATCGACTGATATGCAACATGACCCTTTCCGGTCAGGTCATGACCTTGACCTGAGGTCAAATTTTCAAGTTGACCTTTCAAGGTCAAGTTATAGTTCATTCGATGCGTCTTGACGAGAGGAACACGATGCCGCTAAAAGTAAGCTCGTAAAAGGCTTGGGTCAAAAGTTATTGCAGAAAAACTGTTTCCGAAAAAATCGGCTATTTTTGCAGTTTTTGCCCCCTGCAGGCAAAACCGTTGAAGTTAGGTCAAATCTGAGAGAATTACTCAGAAAGGGCGTTAATGGGGCTATCGAATGCGCTTTTCCGCGGCGCTGTAGCTCTATTGGTTCCCGAGTTATGCGTTGGCTTCTTGGAAATTTTCGACATTCGACCTGGAAATCGGCGAAATTTTGCCTTCCATGACCTCTGGTGATCTGACCTTTGACCTGACCAAAAAATTGACCGAAGTGATTTCGTCATTATTTTTGACGCTCTTTCGAACGCCGCCTTCCGCGTATCGCTACGTGGCCCAGGAGCCGAGTTACAAGGGGGGGTGTTCAAACACCCCCCCCCCCCCCAGCAGGGCGTGGAAATCCAGGACCCCCAGCCGGGCGCGGGTTAACGGCCGGCCGGCCCCATGAAGGAGAAGCTCTTGGTGAAGCTTTGTGATCGCCTCATAGCCGCCTTGGATGTCATCTTTCTTGGCAGATCCATCCGTTCAGATGGTACGGTGCAGTCTGGATAAAGGACGAACTCCAACGCCGCTAACCCCGCGACCGCCACCCCACAACGTGGCCGCAGACCGAACGGGTGTGAGGGCCGTAAGGGCCACCCCGCCATCCGGTAGGTGGCTGAGCAGCCGGGCGCAGCGGCGACTGGGCGGCGGCCGCGCTGAGATGAAGTCCCAAACCGCCATGTCGCCATCACCGCCATCGCCATTGCTGCAGCTGTTCCCAACCGCCTCAATCGCCGCCGTTTTGCCAGCAGTCGCGCCGCGGAATGGCAGAAGCTCCAGAGTAGCCTCCAGCGCCCCTCTCCGCACGTGTGCAGGTGCACTGCGGCCGCCGGGTCCGACGTCCAGGCAGAACATGATATTTCCATGCTGCTCCGACGGTGGGCTGGTCTTGTTTGGGCGTTCCTCCACTGTGACGTCGGTCACGCCTGCCCCGGCCAGGGCGCAGAGGCCGACGTGTCACCATCCGGTTGCAGTCCTCAGTCGGGTCGCAACGTGTACCTCTTCCGCAGCGTGGAGCGCGCTCCCGCTGGGCAGCGATACAGCCAAAAGTAGCATAGCATGCGGGCGGCCAGCGCTGCGCCGGACAGCGGACCCATGCCGGGGGTATGCCGGTCTCGGCCATTAGCGGGGTCGTCGGGGCCGAGGCTGTACATACAGCTGGTGACCGCGTGAGCCGCCAATCGAAGCTCACGGCTTATAAGCTCGATGCGGGCATCACACGCCGTCCCGATGGGAGCCCCACGACGCCGCCGCGAACTCCAGCGCGGCTCGCAGCGCGAAGACCAGTACGGACGGCCGGGGGAAACGGCGTGCGGGAGTCGCAGGCGACGTTCTGCGGACAGAAAGGGTTGGGCATAAGCTGGTCGGCAGGACACTCTTGAGCCGAGCCTTTGATGTCCAGAAGCATGCACAAAAATTCATGACACACTATTCTCATTTATGTATTTGCTACATATGATATGATATACCAGCTCATGATCAGTGACGCATTCTGGGCAATATGTTCTAAAGTGAAGTAACTGAAGTTACAGCTTAAAAGCTTAAAAAACAGCTTAAAAAAACACACACACATTCGATAGCTTATGAGAATAGCATGCCTTGTGTGCTTAATGCAGGAAAATATTTTTTTTTCACTTTTTTAGAAACAGCAAAAGAGTTGTCAACAAGCCATGTCAACTATCTAAACAATTTTTATGGACACTGCTCTAGCTAGCTTAAAGTTCCACAAAGTTTCCGGAGCACCGTACCCAAACTCAGTTCATGTTACAAGCCAAAACAGTAATAATGCCTCCTAATTTTGAATGAAATATAGGTATGAGTAATTTGATTTGGAAAGCAACAAATTTCCGCACATCATTTTAGCAAAATTACTATTTTCTTCAGCCATCAGGTTACACAAAACTATAGTAAACTTTATGATCTAGTTTACACAAAACCAAAGCCCCGATTTTAACAAATGTAGATAAAATTAACAATTTTAAAAAATGTATCGTGGAGAAAATGAAAAGTGTAGATTTGTAAAGCCGGGATATTTCAATTTCACGGATTAGGCACTTAAAGAAATATCTTCACCTAATTCTTTGAGCCACCAGCCTTCACCCAAGTTTTACACGAATGTAGTGAAGCAGACAATGTGGCAACTCAAAATTGTGATGGTTTGAGATAATTATGACGGTAAAAGAAAAAGCAACACAAGGTTCCTTACCCTCGTTTTTTCACATGGGTTCAGATGAGGCTTCAACTGTTGCCGACCTGAGGAGCTATAGGGACTTGAGCTTTCCAAAACTCAATTTCTAAGGGCACTGAGCAGTGTTTGGCTTTCACACGAATGCGATAGTAAGTTATATGAAGTTGACAAAGCAAGCAAAGCAAAGCATGATGCCCCGCGCGTCCGCCCGCGACCACGCCCCGCGTCCGACTCCCGACCGCCGCGTGACCCGAGGCGCCCGGCGGTCACGTGACCTACCGGCCGGGACTGCAAACGGCCCTCACCACCATTCTTGTATGACGTCATATCCTACTGAGGTGCTGATTGGTCGGAATTAGATACCTGAAGGTAATTATCTGCCGTAGTTATTTTTGTTTCATTGTTTTGCGTGTTTTCTTATATGAAATGTAATTAAAAAATTTGTCATATTT